ATTCTAAAATAGAATGTATCGCTCAGAACAGCGAAAAGTTTATAACCTTTGGTTTTAAAAATCTTTGTTTCAAGGACAGTTTCAGTTTCTTATCGTCTTCGTTGGATAAGTTGGTGAAGTTGAGTAAATATGAGGATGATAAAAAGCGTGAGAATTGGAAGAACAATTTCAGATACAGCGTTAGAAACCCGTATGTTAAAACCGATGAAGATTTGGATTTATTGACTGATAAGGGTATTTATCCCTATGACTACTTTGATGATTTTGAAAGATTTAAGGAAAGGGCTTTACCACCGAAAGAAGCGTTTTACAGTAAATTGAGTGAAGAACATGTAAGTGATAAAGATTATGAAAGGGCACTGAAAGTATGGAAGCACTTCGGGATTAGAACACTCGGGCAGTATCACGACTTGTATTTAAGAACTGATGTTTTACTACTGACCGATGTATTTGAAAACTTTAGAGACTTGTGTATGGAATACTACGGTTTAGACCCCGCTCATTATTACACATTGCCAAATTTCGCATGGGACGCGATGCTTCTAAAAACTGGTGTTGAAATAGAACAATTGCATGACCAAGAAATGTTTGAGATGGTTGAAAAGGGAATGAGAGGTGGTATGTGTCAAGTCAGTCATAAATTAGCGGTGGCAAATAATAAGTATATGGGGGAAGCATATGATGAGAACAAGCCATCAAATTATATTAGTTACTTGGATGCTAATAACTTGTATGGTTTGGCAATGTCCCAGAAGTTACCGCTAAAAAATATCAAGTGGGCAAAGAAAACTCCCATTGTTGAAAAATGGAATGAAAACGATGAGTTCGGTTATATTATGGAAGTTGATTTGGAATATCCCGAAACATTGCACGACTTCCACTCTGACTATCCACTAGCGCCTGAAATAATGAATGTAAATGTGAATATGCTTTCCGATTATCAAAAGCAAGTCTTCAAAATATATTATGATGGTAAAAGTCCCAAGGACGAGAAAACAAGTAAGTTAATATTAAATCTAAAGGATAAAGAAAAATATGTGGTTCATATTAAGACTTTACAGTATTATTTGAAAATGGGAATGAAAATGGGTAAAGTCCATAGGATAATAAATTTCAACAGAGGGCATGGTTGAAACCGTGGATTGACTTCAACACTGGTAAAAGGAAAGAAGCCAAAAGCGATTTTGAGAAAGATTTATTCAAATTAATGAACAACGCGGTGTACGGAAAAACTATGGAAGACAAAAGAAACCATATGGACTTTGAACTGGTTGATAATGAGGTAAGATATAAAAAAGGCGTTAATAATCCAACTTTCAAAAATAGATTTATTATTAATGAAAATCTCGTCGGAGTTGAGAAAACTAAAGCGAAACTGAAACTGGATAAACCGATTTTCTTAGGAATGAGCATTTTAGATTTAAGCAAATTACATATGTATCAGTTTTATTATGATGTATTGAAAAAGAAGTATAATGAAAACATCAAACTGATATATACTGATACTGACAGTTATGTAATTCAAACAATGACTGATGATGTCTATAAGGATTTCAATGATATAAAGCAACACATGGATTTTAGCGACTATCCTGTTGAGCATCCATGTCATGACAAAACTAATAAAAAGGTCTTAGGAATGTTTAAGGACGAAGTGAATGGAAAAATCATTACTAAATTCATCGGATTGAAACCTAAATCTTACGCCTTCACAATTCATGGTGAGGTTGATGAACATAAGAAATCAAAAGGTGTAGTGAAACACAAAGTGAAAAAAGAACTGTCGTATCAGAACTACCACGAAGCATTATTTCAAAACAAAAAGCATGAAATCACATATAACTTCATCAGAAGTAAGTCACATCAAATATATTCAATGTCTCAAGTAAAGCAATCTCTCAGTAATTATGAAAATAAAAGGTTTTATATTGATGCTTTCAATTCATTACCATATGGACATTACGCTATTACAAAGTAATAGCCTAATGAGCTTCGCGACATTACTCCATAAAATAATTATCTAAATAGTTCTACTAATATGAAATTATTAGAATTATTTTCAGGGACAGGTTCGGGCTCTCAGGTTTGGTCGCAAATTTGAAAGTTCTTGATTTTCTCAACTCCGTTTTTGTGATTTTATGTTTCGTTATGTTTTTTAAATTTGATGGATTTCATGGGGAAAAACAAGGGTTTTGAAAAACAAGGAAAGGACCAAATCACCGAACATTTACAAACAAATGAGTTTGTGAGAGACCTCAAAATAAAAAAATCGCGAGAGTTTCGCCTTGTTTTATAGTTTTTTTTTTGTATTTATACTGGTTTGTATATGGTTTTATTAGGATTGTTATTATCCCATACCCGAGAAACCTGCCTAAGATGTGAATGAGGTCGGACCTTCTGACAAGCGGGATGGATGCGGGGTCGGTAGGGTTGGTAGGGTTGCTCGGGATTTGGGTTTTAGTGTTATTTCCCTTGATTTGAAAAATGCAAATATGAATACTGATATTTTGAGTTGGGACTACAAACAGTTTGATGTGGGTTTGTTAGTTTGTTTTAAGACGACCCTCAAAAGGGGAACAAGGACGACCCCACCTCATCCCAGTACCTAGAAGATGGTAGCGTCGTAGGCAAAGAGCAGGATGACTTCACAACCTCAAACGCGCGAAGGGTGCGGGGACTAAGAGAGGAATGGATGTGTGAAACCTCATACCTGATGAGGGGAACCTCATACCTGATGAGGGGAACCTCATACCTGATGAGGGGAACCTCATACCTGATGAGGGTAACCTCATCCAAAAGCAAATCCCCACCTATTTTCAGGGGTTTTCGTATGAGGGGGGTCTCATCCTTATGAGGGGGGTCTCATCCCTTATGAGGAGGGTCTCATCCCTTATGAGGGTTCCCTCAACTGGTCTGACCTAGACAACGCAAATCAAGACCTTTTCCACCCATTCCAGCACAGTTATGTGTTGCTCACTTCAGAGCACGAACGCCATTGATGAAGGACGTCAGAGATTCCATTTTGAAAGCGCCATCCACACATCCCAAATCCCAAAGTTTGGAAGACATCAATCGCTTATATTTTTCATAACTGTTCTCAAGCATTTTGCTAACCTGCTTCACTGACTGGACAAAGGGGATGCTCTCAACGATGCTCTCAATCTTGACGGTGTGGTGTGCCCTCCCAGTGGTGAGTTTGCTCAAGATGAAATCCAAGGAAGTCCCATCGCAAGAGGTGAAGATTGTCTTCAGGTCAATCTGGTCTTTGTTGAGGGCTGCCATCTGAATGGAACTAGTGAATGCTTCCTGAAACAGGGCAGTGTCCGTGGCAGTCGGGAACGTTGCCTCATCCTCACTGAAGGGGTTGATGTTTGAAGATGCCTTCCTCTTCTTCGGTGCCCCGCCAGTCCCACGGATGGACAACACCAACTGGGAACCGTCCACCACATCGCACTCGGTAAGGGTTAGGTGCTCATCCAAAACGAGGGAGTTGAAGGTCAATTTCTGGTGCTTCCGCGGGATGCCCTCCTTGTCCGCAATCAGCACCTTGACGTTGTCCACGATGTAGTCCCCGTCAACCTCCAAGGTCAACAGGGTGTTTGATAGGTACTGGACTGTGATGTTGAAGCGTTCCTCGTCACTTGTAGACAACGATGGTGGAGAACCGTCATCATCATCATCGTCGCCATCACCATTGCCGTCGCCGTCGCCGTCGTCATCACCGTCGTCTCCTCCATCTCCACCGTCAGCACCACGCAAGGCGTTCAGCAACCGAGCGTTCTCGCTTTTCAGCAGGACGTTCTCCGCTTGAAGGGATTCTATGGTCATCTTTACCTTCCGAGTCCAGTGGTCATCACCAGTCGGTCTCTTTGAGACCGTCATTTTGCTCATCTCCTTGTCAAGTTCCTCTATGTCCTTTGACGACGTCATTGTTCGGAGAGGCAAGGCAACGACTAGAAAGGGAACATTCACCGCTTGAGAGAGACGATGCAAATATGAACAATACAATATGCTCAACACGTCTCAAAACAGTAGGTGTCTCAAGTGCTTGTCTGACCCTGTCTCAGCACATGACTTCAAATGAGCACAAAACGGAAATGACTATTCTTTTCTGTCCAGCGAGTGTGTCCATGGTGCTTGGTCAATCAAAGAGTCCAATCATGTCTGGGTCAACGTCATCGCTGTCATCGTTGTAGTGGTCTCTGGTGGAATGCATTGTGTCCTCATCATAGTCTTCTAGTAGGTGTCGGTTCTCCCTCAGGAACTCTTGAAAATTCACCGCATACACCTCCAATTCATCACGAGCGGGACTACGATGAAGCAACTTGACCATGACGGCGTTGAACAACTCCCTCGTCTTCTCAAACAGACCCACCAAGAAAAAGCGGAGCATGGCAACGAAAGAAAACACTACTCGCTGGTTGAACCAAAGTCTGAGAGTGAACAAGGAGTAAGGGGTAGGTTCAACTCATTACCTTGCTTCCTTGCTTGAAGTGTCTCACACAGTCAAACAATGCTTGAATATCGTTCGTTTTCACTGTCCAGCATTGCCACATCAAGCGTTCCGAGCACTACACACAAGGAGAAAAGACCGATGCTCTAAACTTGACAAATCCGAATTGTGTCCTCATTGGTCACTCAATCACTTGGAGGATGATGAGGACGAGGCGGTGCCCTTGTTGGTGACCTTCTTGTCGTTGCCACCGTCACCGTTGTTGCTGTTGCCCTGCTGCGGAAGCGAAGCAACGATGACACTCCCGTTGACAACACCCAAACTGCCGAGCTCAGTCCTGCCGTTGCCAATGTTGTTCAAGAGCAGTCCGTCAAAGCGAAACTCCAAAGTCTTCAGGAACTTCTCTGTCTTGAAGGTGCCACGGTGGTTCCTCAACAACTCGGCACGGACCTGCTTCAACTTGTCATACTTCGTGATTGTGATGGAATAGTTCTGTCCCTGGTATTGAATGATGATTGTGATGGGTTCAACCTTGTCCACTGCCTTCGCCTTGGACTTAGCAGCCTTTTTTGCCTTATTCGCCGCATTCCTGGCAATCGCACGGGCTTTGGACTCCAAAGGTCCCTTCTTCTCCTTAATCGCCAGCATCCTCTTCTGCACCTCGTCGAGAGCGTTCTTCAACGGAATGGTCTTCGCCTCCCACTGCTTCATCAGATTGTTCAGTTCGTTGAGACTCATGCCCTCCATCGCTTGGGTCAAGGTCACCACGTCCACCTCGTTGGACAACAGGGCAGGGTCAACCATCACATCCTCGTCGCACTCCGACTCGGACTCGCTTTCCTCATCTTCCACGTCCTTGGCAATGGTTTCGGAGATGGCAAGGTTGTTCTGTTCCTCCTCATCCATCACCGCTTCGGCAAGGGCTCGGTCGTTAAGTTCCTCCTCGCTTGGTTGTCCAGCGTAACCCGACTGCTTGGGTGCCATGAGTGGCAGGAGAACACGAAAGTAGGAGAGTGAAAGGGCTTTGCTCACGAGAGCGTTCTCAACTCACTGATTGAAAAATGCAGCGTCGCCATCAAATGTCAAATGACAGTGCCAAACGTCAAGACCCAATGTCATTGTCTCAACGAAGCACATACCATCAATCCTTTCATTTGTCATTCTCAACCTTGAAGATACAAGAAAAACTGACTATGTCTCTCCGTCTGAGTGCCCGGGCAAAGAACAAACAAAGAAGAGCACAATGAAGTCGTGGCGCGGGGGAAACGACCGAATTATGGGACGCACGAACGCAATACCAAATACACCACCAACACCTCAGAACTTGATAACTACTAAAAGGGTTAACTCTTTCAAATGAAAAAAATGTCGGCCCCCAGCCCAACAATGAACAAGGGGGGCAATTACCAAAATGATTACCTTAACGAAAACGATAAATAAGCTCCCTAAAAACCCTCTTTTAAAAACGAATAAGGGGGAACACAGATTTGAGATGAACATAAAAACCATAACAGGGGACCATCAACAGACCACCCCCCAGGCCCCCTACTTTTACCATTTTTTGGGGGGAGGTTGGGGGGGTGGAGGTTGGGGGTGGGGGGGGAGGTTCGGGTCTTTTAATTTGGTGGCGTTTTATAGGGAAAGTGACAAGGACACTGAAGACCGAAGCTCCTTTTTTGTTGGGGGGGGTGTCCGGGATTGCTTCGTGCCACTTCACTTGGCCCACGGACTGGAAGATCAGTCTTCCCATCTTTGTGCGGGTATGTGTGTGGCCGAAGGTTCACGGAGTCCCTTTGCGAGAGCAGCTCGGGAGCTTTCGTTCGCCAGGCCCCGCTGAGGGAGATGAGGCGGGAGGAGCAAGACGGGATGTCTCACAAGGGTTGCAAGGAGCGGGAGAAATTGTAGTGCGCAGAAGACGACCCACAATGATAAGAAAAAGGGTCATTGTTTGGTGTTTGAGCTACCGTTTGCTCTCCCTGTGTGCCCCTTTACCGCTGTTTGCTCTCCCTTCCGTTTGAGCCACAGAACGTTGTGAGCAGTTATCCGGTCCTGTTTTGACCACAAGACTCAGGGCAGTACGGGGTACTGGCAACGCTTGAAATCAAACCATGGCAAGTCTTGGCGAACATATATATATATATAGTATCTATTTACCTATTTTTATTTTTTTATTTATGTATTTATTTATTTATTTAGTTGTCTATTTATTTTTTTTAATATACACATGGGTGTGTCTTTCAAACAACGGACGCCATTTTGGATCCTGGCAAATGGTGTTTATTTGGTTCCGAGTTAATCCGTTGGGGAGTACCCACATGGACACTGTATCCCTTAACCAAACCATTGAACACAGACTGGTATTTCTAGCGGCGGGGGCGGAGCCTGACACTTTTTGCGAGGGTCGTTGATCCAAGCTCAGATGTGCAGCCGGCCAGGGGTGGTCCCGTGCTGAGGGACGTGTGCATGAGGCGTGGATGGGCACTGGGGCATATACATGAGGCTGTCACTAGGTGCGGCCATGTAGGTTTGTCTCAAAAGTAGGCAATGACCCAAAATGCGCACCGTAAATCCGGCCAAAAGGTCTTTTGCAGGTCCAACACCTTCCAATAGTTTCCAAAGCAGGGTCCAATGATGAAGTGTAGTTTCTTTGGTTTACCGTTTAACTTTGAAGCATGTGCTGTAGGAAAGAGAGTGATACGGGCAAAGCCTACCAAATTGGATCTCGTTATTCAGGAGGGCGGGGCCTTGCCGCCAAAATCAAACATCATGCAGGGCACGCCGCCGCTTTCCAACGAAGAACTCCAAACACATAGTTTTCTGTTGATCCCTTTAAACACCCATGAAACGCCATCCAGAAACAGAGGGGCGGGGTGGTGCAATGTGACAAGGGGCCCTGGGTGCCCCTTCCAAAGGAGACCCAACAGGTCGGCAACCAGACAACTACCCTAAACAAGCTGCGCTCTCGAGAATGATGCCAACAACAGGCGCCCACAACCGCGATTCGCCAGGTTTGCCCTACACTTTACAGCTTTACTCTCAAAAGCGGGGCCCTCAAAGACACCAAGCTGTCCTGTTTTAATGAGGGATTTTTTGGTCATCCCTTGTGGATTTGCGAAAGGGGCGGAACGGGCGAGTCGGCTGGAGGCCCTCCTTTGGCTCTGCTCGCAGCAAGCCCATGTGGCTGGTGGAGGCCTGGCTGAAGGGCTTGGGCTCCCTCAAACCCCCGCAGCCGACGTGAACTAGCCCATTTGCGATTTCTTCAGGGACAAGAGGAAGTCGTATTTGACTTGCCGGAGCCTGTTTCCCCACGAAACCAGGCGAGAGTTTCTTGATGTTCCAGGATCTGTTATTAGCACCCAGTGGAGCAGTGGTGACAGAATGCTTTAGTTGCGGTCAACAGCAGCAGTGTTTCATTTCACGCAAAGGGAGCCCAAAGAGGATGTGCAGTTGTTGCTTTTGAAACGCTCTACTTAACGCCAGGATTGGTAAAACGACCATGAGGGAAGCACTTGATGTAAGAGTAAGTCTTGATGTGGCCATTTGTGTTTCCAGCAGCATATTCCCCGGCCTCGCTCCCGGCTGTTTATTGTTGGCTTCCAGTGCGCATCCCTGCACAACATGGTTGACCTAAATGGAGCAAGATCACTTGGGGCAAAAACAAATCGGATGTTGAAAAGGGGTGGAGTCTGTTTGATCGCCACGAGATCCAAGTGTCTCTCAACTGTGGCTTGCTTCTCAAGTGTTGCGGGAACTCGCCTTTGGGTCGCAATTGCAAATGACAAGGACGCTGACATTGGGCCCCGAAGTCCCCAGCGGTTCGGCTTAATTGACATTTGTTGCGTAGCCAAATTGGCTTGGCCCAAGTCTGTGGGGGCATGTGGCAGGTATGCTAGAGGCGGGGGAGGAGGAGGAGCTGCTGGCAAAGCACCGCACGGCCCCACCCTTGCGCATAGCTGTGGCTGTGGCTGTGGTCGCAGCCGTGGCTTTGGTCGCGGCCACCGCTTTGGCAGCTGAAAAGGCATGGCTTGAGCCGAAGCAAGAGCGGTGGCCAGAGGCATGGGAGAAGCTCCCCGGCATGGAGGAGATGGTACGGGCGCAGAGGCTCCAGCTCCGCCATTTGGAGACGCAAGACCCTTGGACCACCACTGAGTGTGTCATTGATGCCGTGCAGGCCATGTCATACCTCGGAAACGCGGTGATCTACCTTTGGCGGGCCATCCAATTCGAGTGCCCGGACCAAGACGTGGGCTGCGCTGAGAACGTTGGTGCCTACATGGCTGCCGTGTCCTGGGTTGGCGCATACGTCTCCATGGCGGCCAATGCGTGTGCGCAGGCACCGAACCCTGGCGCTGCGTGCGGAGCGCAATGGGCTACGCTGACCGCGAACCTCGCGGAGTTGGCAGCGGTTGGGGCTGCTGTGAGCGACAACTGCGACTTCAGCAGCCACTGGGCAAAGCCTCACGAGGAGGAGGAGGAGGAGGAGATTCTCGAGAAGTTCATCCCAGGTGCCGGCCCGGTCAAAGAGGCCAAAGCCAAGTCAGAGGCCAAAGTAAAAGCGGACTTGGACAAAGCCGCGTGTGGTATGGATGTGACGAACAGCTTGTCCTACCTTGTGCGGGAGGTGCTTCAGATCCGTGAGGCAGTGCACAGCTGCCCAGAGCCGCGTGAGTGCGCCATGAGTATCCTGAGTGTGCTCGCCTCGTTCGGGTGGATCATCCGCTTCGGTGCCCTAACCGCAGTGGACTGTCCTAGTAAGGAGGACCAGCCAGTGGCCTGCACGGCCGACATTGCCGACCTCTTTGCCGCCACGATAGGTATCCCTACGCAAGGCCTAGGTGTTGGCATGGACTGCTAGCCCGCTCTGAATTTGTTTGAGCGGCCAAAATTGAGCCGGACCAAGGTTGAGCCAAAGGGCCAAGCTTGGACTGTACTGAGCCGCCGACAAGACTTCGGAAAGAGCGACTGCCACATGGGGAGCGATATTTGCTCAGACTTGAGGCATGTGGGACCCATGGAGTCATGGCCCATTTACTTGGTCTTCCGCGCGGCCCGCTTCAGGCGCACAACAATGGCTTCCGGGCCCAGGCACGGCAGAGTCTGACTCCAGGGTTCTCCTTGGACACCAAAGACTCGCTCAAATCAGCCGGGTCATTCCCTGCCCATCGCAGCGAGTTGAACACTTGTGGTGTGGTTGAAACTGGGGAGCGATGAGGATGTGACAGTTGGTTGGATATGGCTTCAAGTAGCTATTTCAATGTGGCCTTGTTTCCATTCAGGTCAGGTATGGGGAAACCAGCAAAATAAGCGGCCCAACACGTTGTCCAACTCCCAAACCAAAGGACCCCCGCCCACATGGCAAGGAGTTTCACGGAACTCTCCGATCCCGTTGGTGGACAGAAATATCCTTAGCCTTGCAACTGATACATGATGTCCACAGAGGCGCCTATTTGGAATTGATACCCATGCCGTCGGATATCACCTTCTCACTAGGACACTCAGCCTAAATTGGCCGTTGATGTTCGTGCAGCCCTGACAAAGCGGGTTTGCGACCTCGCACATGATGAGGGTTCCTTTCTTTTGGTTCCATGTCTCATTCGGTTGGGTGCATTAACCTTTTGGTTATTCACCCAAACCTAATGAAAGGACCCCTATTGGTTTGACCTTCCATACCTTGCTTTACTCTTCAAAGGATATTTTGACAAAATACGAGGAGCTTCCCTAGCAGTAACACAACCCATGATGGTTCCATGCTTCGCGGCTCTTGTTTTATATATGAGTTAAAGTCAGTGCCTCGAGGGTACGGGATACTGCTTCTTTGGGATCACACTGGCAGCTGGTCTATTCCAATTCAACTTGGCCCAGCTTCGGGGTCTGTTTAAACACACCCATTTCCCAGAACTCATGTGGTATTCCTCAGTCGTGGGGTTTCAAGAGTTTTCGATAGCATGCCCCAGCCAACGATCCGAGTTCTTCCGGTTTCCCAAAACCCCAAGCTGATTTCCCCGGCTTCCCCCGATGGCCACGTTTCTAGGTCAGGGGCTCCGCCACGGAAAAGGCCTCGATCTCCGATCCGGCAAGAAAAGGGAGGGTCCCACCGCGCCGAAGTGAATGTTGACTCCCGAACCACTTCCAGGAACCAAGGAAGTAGATTGTATGAATATATACATATATAGAGAGAGACGTGTACAACTTCATAAGGTGTGCGTAGTTTGTAGAGGATTTGTTCTTGCAGAAGGAAAGGCAGCATGAATGGTACAAATTGAAGGTCACCCTTTCGCAGGCTGGGCTCCTTTCAATTCGTTGTGAGTAAATGAAGCATGATCTCACTAGTGGTGAATCCCACCTCTCAGCACAGGAGCCCTTTTGGTTGTTCCATCGATAAGGTTGGTCCCCAAAAGGGCTGAGTTCCTGCACAAAAAAGGCGTAATTCAACAGGACGACCCGGGACAGCCATGGACGGCCAGAAGAAACACCCAAAACAACGTGGTAGCACCCTTTGGGAGGATGAGGGTGTTGAAGGACATGCAAAAGCAAGGGACATGAAGGGACATTGATGCCAGGGGTGGCATCATTTGATTGCAGCTGGAGGAGGGCACATATGATCATTTGATGCAGCGATCAACAGCTGATATCTAGTGTAAGGCCATCTCTGAAGGCACATGCCCTTTGTTTGGTCATTCGCGGACAAAAAGCGCGAGTTTCAGTTTGGTTGTCATTTACCGGCGGCCATTCTTGCAGAAGGATACTCAGGATTACACCCCAATGCACAAAGTCCAGCCCCCCAGATTGTCGGCATGGTGTATAGTATTGCTGGGCTGTTGGTGTTCTGTCTCAGTCACTTCCGGGGCACGTGCTTCCCCTTTTTGCTGGGTGGTTGCCCTTGGAGTAAAATCGCCCGGGGTGTCCCAACCAGTTTCTCGCAATGGCATTCCATAGAGCTTTGGACTCATTTGGCCTCAACGCGCTTCAGCAGATCAGTCGCCTGATCAGTTGGAGATCCTCTACTCGCAGATCAAGGTGGCTATCTTTCAGCCCTGCGAAAGACGTCAGGGGCCTAAGGCGGAGCCGTTGCGCGCGGTTTTCGGCGACTTTTTTGGGGGCGCAGGACAGCCTTCCGACCCTGAAGCCTCCGGCTCGCGTGAACAGCCAGGGGGTTTTTGGTGGATGCGCCGAGAGCGGATTGGGCGCTCCCTGTTCCGACCCCATGTTTCAAGCTCAGATTGTGGGCTGTGCTGGTTCTTCGGAGGGAGAAATCCAGACCCAATACTCACTCGGCATGGCGAGCTTGTTGAAGCGATTCTGCGGGCGAGGGGGCGATTCCAGGTAGATCCAATGTGCCGGAGAATCTGCGGGCAGAAAGGGCCCCTGGGGTCCAACCAGTTGGCATTCGAGTGCAGACTCACCTTAAACAGGCATCATGTAGTCCCAAAAAGGAGATGATATGTATTCAGAGGTATACATATATATATATATACATATGCATATGTGTATACATATAATTATGCAACCCTGGCAGGAAAAGGAAAGCGAGAGTTGATGCAACTTTCGTCCTGCGGGAAACCATTCGCTGAAGTTTCTGAGATCTCATCGCCTCAGGGTCCTTGACCGTGATCATCCACTTTCACCTGAAAGAGCCCATCCTCCTCGGTCGCCGAAAGACGGGGGATGGGGGGGGGGCTTTTTGTGGGTTCGGATTTTCGGCTCGTGCAGAAAATCAGATTCTCGCCATTGCAGGTCCCATTTTGCTTCGTGCTCCAATGGGCTCGTGTTCGACAAGTCGTGTTGTCGGGAATTGGGCAGCTCCTTTAAAAATAGCAGACACCCAAAGGGGGATCTATCAAACATTCATAGAGTCTCGTGTTTTGGAAACTATGGCGAACTGTCCAAGTATTCCGAAGTCTGAATCAGCAAGTTTGCCTCGGTAGATGTGGAGGCTTGTCAGTCACAGCGCTTCGAGTCAAGAGAACTCGAAGCTGCTTGCAGGCACCGGGTAGGAAACAACACACGGAGGAGTGTTTGCCGAGAATATTAACCAGCTGCCCCCAACATAAAAACATAGTACAGGCTGTTTGTACAGGCGCGGCGTTCATTGATTTCCATCCCTACACTTATGGAGATTTTTGGAGTTCCAAACCTTCCTATGCAGATCTCCCCTCCAAATGGAGGGTCCGATGCTGCTTCATACAATGGGATTGCAGACGTTAACGTTCCTCCACCCGCTCTTGAGGAAAATGTCGGGTAACAGCACTCTGTAGCACCATCCAATCGATTTCCGCCCTTTAGTCATATAGGATCTTGCTCTTGCTGGTGCAGTAGGGAATGTGAGAGTGAACCCAGAGGTCCCCTAAAAGGAAACCACAAGGGATGGTTTACAACCCTGGTGTAGAATCTTGATTTTCAGGAGAGTGACCCGTGAGCTTGTCAGGACCTACGACGTCCAATTCTACACGGAGACCCGAGCGCAATTTGAGGCGTGCGGCGTCGCAGCTGGTTGGCAAGATGCTGGCATTTGGTTTTCCTCACTCCCTGAGTTCATGTTAACGTTCATATTTTTTGGGTTTGAACCATGTTGGAGGTAACTAGAAAGTTTGTTTTTTGCTTGTTGCCGGTCCACTGGTTCGGAAGAGAGACTTTCTGAGGGTAGCCTTTTTGTTACAATTGGTTTAGAAGGGAGACATTGGCAAGTTGTACCCAGGGCCTGGCCTTCGGAAACCCCAAGATTGAAACAAGGCATCACCATGGGAAGGCCCCAAGACCAAAACGCGAAGTCCTTGTGGACTCGACGGAGCTCGATTCGCTTGGGATGTGAAAGCACCTCCACATGCTGCGAAGGTTGTGGTTTTGGATGCCCAAAAGGCATCCTCTGGTGTCCGCGTGTCTTCAATGATTGGATAACCGAGAGCGGCCAGTTGGTGCAAGGAGAACCAGAAGGTGTGGGCAAGTTGAAATGGAATATGTTCAAGCGTGGCTTGGCTAGCATGGTTGCCATTCTTGCCCTTTGTGGGGTTGCTCTTGACCAGAAAGTCAACTCGCAGGGAAGTCTGGCCAAGCACCAGTCGATCTTGCAAGCATTGGGTCGCAACAATCATGCCCTTTGGGGTGTGTTTTGAGGGTACCTTCAGGGGAGGGAAGCCAAAGGGAACACCCATTTTAGGGTTCCCCTCTTTTGACACATACTCATTTGCCGGCGTATGCCGTATGCCCACAGTTTGTCAACCTGAAATCTGAAGGGCCGCTGAGTTGATGTTTCCTATTGAGGCTTTTCGGACTCCCTCACCAAGGTGAATTTAAGCAGTAAAGTCGGCCTTTGCGCGTACGTCAACACATGACGCATAGACAAATACATATTTACACAGATTTCCCGACTGGAAATCTGAACCGAATTGTTTATTCCCACAGGCTTGTGTGACAACTTGTGTGCGGTTCTTGCTTTTCCGCCTTCCTCCTCGTCCTTACTCTCACTTACTAAACTTACACTCACTGACTTTCAACCACTCTCACTCTCAACCACACACTTACTTGCTCTCACTCATTGAACTTGCACTCACTGACGTCAGCCGCCTCAACTCTCACTCACTCCACTTAGACATACTTACTCTTGCTCACTCAACTTGCACTCACCAACATCCACATACATACTTTGTCTCGCACATCTTACATTTTACACATACTCTCACTCACTCGACTTACGCTCACTGACTTTCAACCATTCTTTCTCTCACTCACTCAACGTACATACTCTTACTCAACCTGCACTCACTTTACTCGTACAAATAGCAAGACACGTGGGGTTTATCCGGTGCTTCAATTCATTGTCACATTCTCTATTTTATCTGAGACAACCAACAAGAGGTTAGTCAACATATGGGTGTCCAGCTGGTCCTGTATGAGGTGGAGACCTGCCCTAAGCATCATTCGCCCTTTTAGAGAGGTGACGCCTTTCCTTAGGTTGGAGACATGAAAAGCCATGCACCTCCTTGCAGTGAAAGACTTGGCAGGTGGAGAAAAGATCTCGTTTTCTGTGGGATATTCTGGGGTCGAGGGAGCTTGACCCATAGAGGCTGGATGACGAGGTCGATTTGGACCAACGTTTCTTGTGGCTTCCTCCTAACCTTCCTCCTGTAGGTGCGCTTTCGCACCCTTCAAGTACTATTCCAATGACCGCCATCCAAAAGCAGCTTCCAACAAATTCTGCATCTTCTAGTACCCCTTTCGCGTGAATCCTCGCAGAAGCTGCATCCAAATGCTGTACCGCGGACCCAACGGGCCACCCTTCACAGGACCTGTCCATGCGTCGGAGCGCCAACTCCTACGACCCTGATGAGATCATGGAGGAGATGGAGGTTGCTATTTACATTGTCAGACTGAACTTACCTTGTTACAGTTTTGCCTTTTTGGTTTTCCAGAAGATTATGTCCTTCTTTGTTCGATGGTCTGAACATCCCCTTTCGAAAGTGCCAACTTGAAGCGGTTTTCTTTGTTCTCTTTTTGGGTGGTTGGAACATCACCTTCTGGTTGCTATTTTCTTTGCGTTTTTGGGGGGTGGGCCTCTGTTAACCAACCAGCCAGCCAAGCAACAAGCCAATAGACCAACCGGCCATCACCTTTTGTAAATGTTAGTGAGGGTTGACAAAGCAGTCACATTTGTTTTGGCATACCCGCAAAAAGGGGACAGCATGATTCCACCAGGGGCCCCTTTAGCCAAATGGGAGGGAGGAGGTAAAGGACTGGTTAATTGTCCTGTCATGAATTATGGATATTGGTAGTTCGTGTTCGAGCACAATTGCGGAAATCAATGATTTTGGGCTGAATGTTGAATGAAGATCCCAGACAGTGAACCTTTGATTTCCAGACGCCTTGTCATTTGTCATTTCAGTTTTCCTTCGGAACGAGAACAGTCAAAGACGCTTAGAACTCTCAGTCGGACTTTGGCTGCTTTTCCTCACTGATGGGCAAGGAACAATGCATGTGTAGCATGTGGCAGCGCCTTCCTTGTCTTCGCTGTTTGTGCTACGCATATATGAGCCACGGTGAAAAGACAGGTTCGCTTGCTTCAATGTACGAAGGATAGGGTGAGACAACTTGCGCAATCACTTGCTTGAAGGGAAACATGACCACGCAGCACATGTATAGGCAGTTTTGCCCATAGCGCACGTAACAATGGTTGGAATCCACTTGTGTCCCTCGTGCACACCATCCAAAGGCTTTCTATTTTAGGAAACGGGAAGGCCTACCCTCATGGCGCATGCGCCAAAAACGATTTTTGCATTCGGACTCAGGTTGAAATGTGGTACAGCCTTCTCGCCTTTTGGTTTCGGCTTTTGACATCTTGGATGCCTCACGGGTTCGGTCCCGGATCTTCCAAAGCGTCAAGTCCCAAGGCCCAATCAACGAGAGGGTGAGGGTAAGTCCATTGGGAGTGGCAGTTTTCGAATGTCAAAACCAAGTGATAGGCGCCCAAAAAAACAAACACAAGAAGGCCACTTTGGTAGGTGGTTCTACTTGGTTTCACGGGGTTATTGCATGAGAATCCAAAGTCTATGGCTTTTGGGCGCAGCACGCACGTCGTTGTTGGTTTCTTGTTGTGTCTTTTCGTAACTGTCAGCCGATTGTTTGATTGTGTTTGTGAGTAACTGTGCAACTCTGACCATATTTCAATTTCGCGCTGTTTTTTCTTGTCCGTTTTGGAGTCCCTTTGAAACGGGGTTCATGGACTTTGACCCATATATTTGAATCTTCACGGTTTCTCATGGGTAGGTCCTGTCCTTCTCATTTCCATTGAACCGTCCAAAACCCTTCAATGGCGGGAATATAACAGTATGTAGAGGTCACCCTAGCTTACCCTTCGGGTGTATATAAAGTAGCCCTCTGATACAACCATCCAAGAAATTGAGCAGATATCGAAATCGGGGTCATGGACAGCCATGCTTCGGGGGGCTCCTGTCGCAGGTGGTAAGTTAGTACAGCTCACCCAGAAATGCTGCAGAGTGCAGAGCTGTATGGAAAGACTGCTCGATACAAGGGGCTGAAGAATTGCGCACACTCTCCGATGATCCTGAATGACCTAATTTGATTTCAATGGTACTGATCTAGTTTGATTTTAAAGTACCCCTGACCGTTCTCATTCGCTTGACGAAACAGTTCAGGCACCCTCACCAGTTCTCATTACGTAGGCCCTACCTGTGCGGGCAAGCTGGGCAGGAGCAGAGAGAAGAGGCGTGTAAGGCGCGCCTCAACCAGGCGCGCTCGCCGGACGTCTGGCACGGAGGGAGACTCATGGGGGCGCGGGGAGGTTATTGGCTTCGCAGGCCCACCACACAAAAGTGGGGCTCCCAGCTCATGACACATGGAGAACCCTTCGCTCGCTCGAAAGCTTTTGAACCTCATGAAAAGTTGAAGCCGCGCAAGAGGTGTCACTGTTGAGTGTCAGCTTCGCTTCCGAGGCAGCCCTCACCCTGGGCTCTTTGAAAGGTTGCTAGTGGGGTCGGACTTACGTGGCTATGAACCCCGGAACCCCATGTACCTTCATGGAATTGGGGTTTACCTGAAACCGTTTCGTTGCGAGTTGTTTAGCATCGGCTTCTTTTTGGTTCAGCCAAAATGGTTGAGGAACGTGTGTTAGTTCCTTTTGGGTCGCTGAACTGGGAGATCGCAAATGCGAGGTAGACCAAGCGAGCTTCGAGTTCTTGATTTGTGTAATGGGAATCACGTACATCCTAAACTCGTTCATCAAATAGATGGCCCATCTTCAATTTAGCGGCTGAATGGCGAAGTCTAGATCACGTTTGTGGAGACCTCTTCTTAGTCCATGTCGAACACAGGTCTTGGGTGCCTGCTTGATTCCTAAAGGCGAGTCATGGGACACCCGTTTTCAGTCAATTCCCAGCTCGGGAGCTCACATTCCAGATCCCAGGTGAACGTTGCGGTATTTTGGGGTGGCATTCAGCGGGCCCATTCGGAACACCCCGTGTTCGGAGATTTTCGTGTGGGTCTGGGAAGGCTTCACCGGGCGCGCGTTGAAGTTTCCTGCTTGCTGGTTCGATAGGCAGGGAAATAGAAGTAGAATGACCCTTATAAGCAATCCAACTGGTTTCCTATTTAAGGGGATGATCGGGTTCATTCCCAAAACCCCAAAAGGTGATTCCTTACGTTTCGCGGCAAGTCTGTTGCTTCATTGGTTGGAAGCTGAGTACTTAGAGTCTGTTCGCTTCGCTAAGAAATTGATTGGTTGGAAACCGAGTCATTCGGTGACCGAGTCGGAGAGCCGAACCGATGGCCAGTACTTCAAAGACTGGGTGGTGCCCGTGGAGAAGCTGCCCAACTTCAAGCTCCACTTCGAGCAGCCCACCGAGGATGGGAATCGGGGGGGGGGGTTCGGGCTCGCGCCCGGTGTTGTTGTTGTGCGTTTGTTTCTTTGTTTCTTTGTGCGTGTTGTTGGTTTGTTTGTTTTTTTTGGGGGAGGGGGGATTGACACCAGGCTTGACGGCAAGGTGTTTGCCCTTTAAGGGCCTTTGATTTCCGAACCATTTTCCGTACCCGTGAAAAGTTGCTCGTTGCACAGAAAACTTGGTCTGGTCAAGTGCGAGGTAACCTCGGCGAGGTACCTTACTTGGGGATTCCTGATTTCAGGTGTTGGTGAAAATTTACAGATTATCCAGAATAGAGGTCCCGTGTTTTTGGGTGCTGAAGCAAGTTGCCAGCGGGCAAAGTGAGGTGTAGCGAGGAGATCTGACATTATAATTTCAATAGGGGACACCCTCAGCAGCGACTACCCGAAGTGTTTATGTTGTCCGCCAAAGGTTCCCAACTTGAAAGTTATATCACGAGGAGCCCGGTTCTCTGAAGCCGGTTCTGGAGGAGGCAAATGGATGAGAAGCACCATTTCTGAGTGCCCAGGAGGCTCCCTTGGTTTGGCCCTATGTTTTCACGCAACGGTTCTGGGTAGGACCTATGCTTTAGGATCAGTTTGCTTGAAAGAGATGGGGGCAATTGAAGGATCAGTTTCTCTCCTTTTTTTTCCTTAGGGCAGTTTGCAGTTTAACTAAGCCGATGCAAAACCCATGTTGACCCAGGCTCAGGGCCCAGGGGTGGTTTTGAACGCTTAGAAAGGCCAATGGAAAATGTTTTGCCGTGAGCTCCTTTTCGCAAAGTGATGTTTGTGAGTTGGTCTCATTTCATCGTGTTCAACGCCCGGCTTCCCTTAAAGCTGGAAGACTGCAAGATCCGGGTTATTATCATTCAGCGCAAATGGCTAGAGTGGTCCTAAGCATCAGTCAAGTCGCGCCTGGCCCTTGAGGGGCCCCCTTCTAGACCCCACAACTAAGCTTCAGGGGGCCCAATAGAGCAGGGTCAGATTCCCCCGCCCCCCCCCTGAAGTAGCCTCTGATTGATTACTGCTTAGTATTGGTTTAGTATTGGTTTGGATGTTCGGTCTTGGTTTGGAGAATTGGCATTGGCTTGATATTGATTTCGCACTGGTGTAGTTTGGTGTGTAGAACGGAGTAGAACTGCTTACGTTTTTTTAGTATTGGTTTGGATTCGGTCCTTTTCAATCCTCTTTGTTCAGCATTGGCATGCAGTATGTGCCTAGTGTAATGTGCGATTTGATTCGAATGGGTGAGTCCTGTTTGGCATCCTCGACAATTGGCGAGGGAAGTTCCTCTTCTCAATTTGGTACCCTTGAACAAGCCGTAAAAATTGAGTATCAGGGGCTTGACTGCGTTGTCAGTTTTCGATGGTTCTCGGCCGTTTGTGGGCCCTGTGCCTGCGTTGGTAGCAAGGATTGACTTTGCCAAAAACATGGCCTCCAGTCCAGGCTGGCTTGGAAGAGGAACCATTCTTGCTTTTGTGGGGGGAGGCGGTTTGGCGATTCTGGGGACCAAAGAGATACAGAGGGTGCCACCGGCATCCGGGTTCAACCTCGTAAGGCTTGATGGCAATCAAGTGTCCTTCTGGATCCTCAACCTACCCAGAATTCAAGCCATCATTTTGATAGCCAATTTTCAAGGGAATTTTGAGGGTTCAGGCTTCTGCTTTTGCATGTCGGAATCCACAATGCGCCCACAGGACCTGGCCATCTCCGGCGTCAGCATCCAAGTGACCCTCTTCCTGACCTTTAGGTGGACGCTTTAGGGCTTTTCCACAAGCATTCGAAGTTCCTATTGTCCACTTCCATGATTGGAGGGTATCCATGCACTGTTTTTTGGACACTGGGGATTTTGGCCATGGTTGAAAAAGCCGTTGTTGGGACCCGGGTGCTGGTAGGAGTCGCCCTCTAAGACAAGTTGGGCAGTTCATGGCTATAGATGCAGTGTGCCCAGTTGTGCCCTCTCGTTCCACCTCAGCCCTGCGGCAGTTCCTCACAGGAGAGGGGCCATGGTTTTTGGTACGCGACTTGTCATTTCACCCGCGCGAGCGCGAGCTCAAAGTCACCAAGTCACAAGGAATCTCAAAGTGGCGCCCGTCTCACGTCTCTCAGTTGCGGATCCATGATGCCGCCCGTTTCCCGGCGTGGCTGAGACCTACCACCGGGGCACCAGCCCCATCTTTCTCTGCAAGGACACGATGGTGTCGGTGCAGGACGGGTACGCGGGGTTGGCATCTCACTGGGCGAGACAGTGAGAGTTCCTCCCGAAAAGGAAGCTAAAGAAGGAGACGGGTGCTATTTTCTGTTTTCCAGGTATGCGACACCTGCAATGTAGAGAGCCCCAACGCAATGTTTTCAGTCGTTGCTTGTTTTGGCAAGCCCAAAAAGAGTGTCCTCAGAAAAAAACCAATCGGTTTATGTCTCGTTTTGGTATGTGACTCTGTTTCAATAGGGATGACACTCAAAAGTGGCTGGTGGACAAACACAAATGAAGCCATAGGGTCCCAAGTTAATATCTATAGATACTTCACGCTAGCTTCCTATTTATTCCATCCGGCACAGAAGGATCCTGGTTTTGACACATCTATTGGTGTAAAGGAGGCGTGGGGGTGGGCCCACTCATACAATCAGAAATTAGTCTACCAGCTTGCGTTATCAGGTGCCACAATGACAGTTGCAGGCACGTTGCTAACAAGGGGTCTGAGCCGCTGGATTGTAAACATAAAATTCAAAAAGCGGGACTTTGAATGTGGGGGGTGCTAACAATCTGGCGGCCTCTTTTGGCAAGGCAGTATGAAACCAGAGTTCCCGCAAGCACATGCAAAGCGCAACTGGTTGTTGGATTCTTTGGGCCCGGCTTTCAACAGACTCGGGTTGATGTTAGAATTGGCTGCCCAGCCAGTTTTGCCTTCTTTGCACATTAGCCCGGTTGGTGAGGCCTTGCGAATCTTTTGGGAGTCAACATGGGATGCAATCATATTCGATCCTTGTGATGTTTGTGGCTGGTGGACTCAATTGTCTAACAGGGGGTGGCCTCTTTGGCATGGATCTGTTTGTCTTAGGGATTGCCAGGTATTGGTTTTCCCCGCACGAATGTCTTTTTGGGAGAGCCCCTTACCCTCAAATGAACAGGACGGGCCTACAAACCATGGGCTTTTCCTTCATCGATCCGTAGGAGTGGCCTCCTTTCGTGCAGTGCATGAGCGACGTGGAGATCGTTGTCTTTGTGACGCGGCGGCATCGAGCCTTCTTCGGCTTCGGGAGGCAAGCCCTGTGGGCGGACCAAATCCGCTTCGCACCACTCTGAAACAATGGGCAACCATTGTTGGTTGGTATTTACAGGGGGAATGGGTTTCTTGGGTAGTGGAGGATTTCGTCCATCCACAGTGTGATTAGTATCCTCCAGACTTTCTCCTTTGACATAGTCAAAAGTGCAATGGAATGGTATGCAATGGAACGATATGTGGTGTTTGGATGGAATGGTATCTGGTATGCAATGTGATAGTATGCGCAATGTATAGAGTGTAGCAAGTAATGTATGCTAACACACCCCATGGGGCTACCAAAACCGACAAGAGCGAGGGGTTGGGCCGCCCTATGGGTTGTTTTAAAGGGAAGCCAAAGGGGGAACCAAAGAAAAACCCAAAGGAGGCCCCTGAAAAACGACAAGCCCTTATGTTCTGATTGGAAGGTTCTGAGCATGTCTTGCTGTTGCACCCAAGGGCAAGGGGACAAGCGTTTCAGGGGGCAACATGGTGAGTGCCACAACCATGCTGCCGGCTGTGTGCTAAGCTCTTCTCGCATATAGCCCACTTCCTATCTGGGCTGAACAAGCACACAAGTGGTACTCGGGTCTCCTCTACCTCTGTTTGTTTTCATTAAAAGGGTAATTGGGAACCGGTGTTGTTTGCTTACTAGCCCCGGCTTGAGGCTTAGACCCGGCCAGGGGCTGGTTGGTGGGCTGCTTGGTGGGTTGGTTGGTCGGATCCCCGGTTACTTGGGGTCAGGGCTGCGTATTGGCCAGAGTTTCTCGGGCTTAACCGGCCCAAGACTTGCGCAACCACATCCCTAACGCAACCCTAAAAGCGACTGCTACAAGCCGCACACCTGGCGCAAATCAGTCCCAAGCCAACTCAAACTGACTCAAAGTAAACCTTAAACTTTCCCAACAGCATCCTGGATATCAGCCCTTTTCCGAGCCTAAATGAACCCCAAACAAACCCAAGACCTGCCCTCATTCAGGTCTCAGCAAGCCCAGCACTCACCTGAAACCCGTCCCCGAGCAACTCGAAATTGCCACCAAAGCCAAAAGGCAACCCTAATCCCGTGATGCTGGGCAACCAACCCCGCCCCCGGCCTGGCCAATCAGCCACATAGAGAGGCCGTGCGCTGAGCCCGGGTGAGTAAAGAAAAGACACCTCAACCGAGTATTTGGGCTGAGTATGATACAGAATCATAGCGTGGTGTCCTTTTTCTGTGTACCCCACGTGCTTTCGTATCCAAGGAGCGCGCCCTGCTGGTCACCCGGGAGGCAATCCGAATTCGGGAGGGGACCGGGTTGAGGCGGGTACCCAAACTGGGCGTTTTTTTTTGTTTTTTCCTCGGAGCCCTTGTTTGGGGGTGCGTCTCAAGGGACGAAAGAGAGACACCGGGGCCACTTTGAAGGGTCCGTATGAGCCACATTTAAGAATCTAAGAATCAGTCAAGTCACTGTGTACCCCCACAAGGATAGCTTTGTAGGGTCGTTTTGCAGGCTTACTCGTCAACCTCCACGGCTTAACGCCTCAGTCAGCCATGGGTCTTTGCGTCGCAATTATTGTGAGGAACAAACTTTGATTCTGCCAGCATTCCTAGCAGGAGTTCAATTGCCAATATCGTAGGCGTTGCTTAGCATTGACATTGCCTTTCCGATATCCCACGGTCGTATTTTGACGCAATGCCGGGCTGCACGGCGTGGGTTCTTGTCATTTGCCGACTTCATGGCGACCTCACTAGACACAAGCTTAGGATCCTGCACAGGTTGCCTATGATGAGCATTTCGACTGGGTTCATGGCAAGAGGAAGCTGGGGGAAACCGGGCCACTTGGATCGGGTAGGTCCTCCGGATTCGCATCGAACTGCGCTCCCTTGAAGTTGGTTCGGAACCTCAATTCTGGTTAGTGACATCCTTAAGACCCTCGAATCGAATGGTGGCAAGGGCTTGCTCGCACATCGTTTTGAGAACCCCTCAAGATGCCAGACATTTCGGGCACGCACTGGCAACCGGTTTGGAGCCACTGGAAAGGGTTGTACACTTTTAGAGGATCCAGAGCTGCTTTTGTTCGGGGGGGTCTGGGTTGAAGCCCGGCCCGCGGCTTGCTGTTCAGTTCGACTTGGCCATGGTGAAGAAGGACTACTGCGCCGCGCCAGTCAAGGCCGGGGGCAATCCCCGCGGTCGCCTTCAAAGCGTGGAACTAGGTCTCCGGCTGGGTTGCCCTTCAGCCTGTGCGCAAACCTGGGTCTAGGGTTCCACTTGAGCAAACTCCAAGGCAGACTCAAAGGAATGGGTTGTCACATTCGGGAAGGGTCTGAGCTCCTGAAACGGAACCAAAAGTTGATGGGTCATTGTTTTTGTTTTTGTTTAGAGCTTGCTTTGGCAAGAGGATTGAAACAATGTCACACTAGGAGCTCACAGGAAGAGCGGACCTGTGCGAGGTCACCCCAAGGCACCATGCTGAAGGGTTCCTTTGGACACACCAAACTCGGGGGGGATCACACGACCTCATCCATAATCCCTTTGCCATTTTGTTTGTGTAAAAAACAGCTTTTCAACACTGAGGAGCTCCCCTCATGTATGCAACAAACACCTCTTAAAATTTATGACGGTGAATATCATATGAGGGCCGTCCTAAAACCCTCGCCAAACAGGGAGAAGTAAAAGTTGTCAAAAGCTGTGCGCGTGCAAGGAGCGCGCAAGTGCGGCCCAAGGGATGCGCAGGGTTACAGTTTTGAAGGTTTCACGCGTTGATGTTGCCTAGCTTCCTGAGAGGAGTGATATATTTTTACTGCGCTTGCTTGTCGAGTGCAGGCCACAAGCTGGTTGCAAAGGTTCCTAAAAGGGAGCGCGTGCTTCTGCCTTTTGAACTTTTGTGAGTTGTCCAGGGCAAAGGGCTGAAGACACGTACACACATTTGTAGTTTGCCGACTGCAGCGTTTTCTTCAGTCAGACGCCAAAGGAAGCCAAAGCTTCTGCGGTCATGACTTCAACAACCAGCAGCTGGCACGAAAAATCCGCGCAAGCCGCGCGCAAGTTGCGCGCAAGCGCGAGAAGTCCCAGCAAGACATCTGGCCAGTTGCTGTCTCGGATGTCCTTGTCGGTGTGGTTCAAGCAACGGATAGGCAGCCGCAACATGCGCTCTCCTTGTTTCTGGCTATGTCCAAGCTGTCTGGCAGAGCCTGCTGAGTTTTCTGTTGCGTCAAGAGTATGCTGCTGGCCTAGAACTGCTGGAAGCAACCTCAGCAGGAAGCGTGGGTTGCTGTGTGAACAGCAAAAACACAGCTTAGAAAAAAGCTTGCGCGCAATGCACACGAGAACTTCGCAAACCGAGGTCAACGAAATCTAGTTTCTGCGTCGCTGCGCGCGCGCAAGTGCCGCGCAAGTGCGGCCCAAGGACCCAATCCCGGGCAAAAGAATATAGGACAGCGCCCATACGGAGCATTGTTCACACGCATATCCAGTGTCAAAGAAAGATTTTCTGGCTCAATGGCACGGAAGCTATGCCCCTATAGGGCCCCTCAAGAAACCTCGGGCCCCATGTTTGCCAGCAAGCATTCGGAAAGCTCGGCGCTTTCCGGCCGAGATCGTGATGGTTCCGGCGGCGGGGATGAACATTCTCAAGAGCTGGCTCGGCGACTTGAAGCTGCCCCTCGGACAAAGTGAGCCGCCGGATGGGTACGAGATGGTATGAGTCAGAGGGTGGCCCAGACACAACTCCCTTAAAACCAACCCCCAAAAAGGGTGTCCTCAACAAAAACACGGCAGATGTTTCATGGCAAGACCTTACGTGGGACCAAGGATTGTGAGTCCGAGCTTCAGCCAAATGATACCTGGAGACCATGGACCATGGCCCCCTTGGACCTTCGGGTGAATGTTGAAATGGGCTTTGGTTCGCTTTTGAACCCTCCAAAAAGGCCCCAACTCCAAACAGCACAGCCACATGACCGCTTCTTTCAGACACTACCTCTCTTTTTTGTCATGTGTGTTGAATGTTTTGAACCGACAGTTCCCTTTGAGTCCCGATTCTCAGCCACCGTTCCGTTCTTAGACAACGGGGGTAGACATTCCCGCCATTCCGCTTAAAATGTCTGGGCCCCTTTCTTGCTGGTTGCTACATGGTGTATTTGTAAGCAGCTCTTGGTTGTTCTCTCCCACACCACGGTTTTGTTGCACACGTTTGGAAGGCGACGCCTGTTGTTTTGCGTCGTTCTAACGGATTCGAAAGGAACTTGCTATCTTGGCTGCTTTCCCAAATTGAAGGCAAACCCATGTGAGGGTCGTTGAATTTCAAGGGCATCCCGACGTAGCAGTGCCGCGTTGCGTTTCCCTCTTGCTAACTTCCTGGGCAACGGCGAGACATCTCAGGCAACCCTTAGTCGATGGTTTGGATTTGTGGTGTGGGGTAAATGGGACACCCGGCTACCCTCCACCCATCCAAACAACCACAAGGGAAGCTCAAGCCCGGCTCCGAGGGTATGGTACTCCGTGCACATGAACATGATGTGGCAGGCCTTTTTGCCGTGAGCCGATAGCCGGCCGCTACCACTTGCCATTGACTGAGCCAGTGATTGAGCCAAAAACATGGGGCATGGTGAGCAAGAGAAGACCCTCTCCTGTCACGGGTCTTTTGGGAGTGGTTGCTTTGGCTGTGTGTCAGTGCTCCCGATGTGTTTTTTTTCTCCCCCGTTTTTTTCTTCGGAAGTTTACGCTCGGAGAACTAAATCGGCGCGTCACTTCAAATCGGCAAGGGATCCCTTGGACAAAGAGTGAGCTGTTGGCCACTAAGGTGGGGATGCGTTGCATCGAAAACCCGAAGGTAGCCTTCGCAGAATCCCTTCCTCATCATCGGTGTCCCTTTTTAGGTTAGAAATCGATGGCAGTGGGTCATTTTTTTTCCAAAAGGTCACCTATGTTCCTCATCCCTTCGCCCATATGGTCCTTGAAAAGTACTCGACCGGCGCCCTTCCGGCAGGTGAGGCCCGATCCTTCAAAATGTGATACGGAGGGCGAAGTGCTTACTCATCGAAACACAAGCATTATGCGGGAACAACAGGTCAGAATAGGAAAGCGATCAAAGAATACATGTCTTTATTTGTCTTTCCAATTTCTTTATCAACTTTTGCAATTGCTACGCTTTAAGCAACGGTGTAGCAATGATACACCATTTGTCCCTTTTCGTTTGATTGGGTTTCTCACTAGAAGTAAGCCCCCACAGGATGACGCACGGCTCCCCGGCTTTTTCGGTCCACTGCAGGTGCTTTGCCCTGTGTTGCACTCGACATTGCAATGCCTTGGGGTAAAAGGGCTCCATTTGTCTATGAGGGGTCTCTGGGCAATGTGGACCACAAGGCTCCCTCGCCCTCCCCCGACAGGGTGTGATGAGAGACATCATCGCGGACAGCTCGGGTATCGGGTATCGGAGCGGTGTTTCGGCAGGTAGGACACATATTGGGGGCTTTCCAGGTTTGTTTCGACCAAACAAATTGATCAAGTTGATGAGTGGTTCAAGTGTAAAACCCAAGTCTGTATGGTTCATGGGCAAACAACAGCGCAGCTCAGCTCGGGCATCACATCATTATTTATTGTAGTGACACACATGAATAAGTGGCTACAAGTAACTTTTTAGTTACTTAATTTGTTTGGTTCTTTTTGCGGAAATCCGAAGTGAACTCAGTAATCCCCATTGAACTGTAGCGACAAAAGGGAGGAGGATGGGCGCACAAATCTGGGGAATAATCCTGTTTGCATTGCACCCCAACAGAAGCCTGTCCAACACAGAGCCTAGTGGCTGCCACATGGCCAACAATGTTTCACATGCAGAGCTATCATAATAATATTCCATTTGCCTGAGAATATGGTTTATTTTCTCCTGTCGGTTTTAAGTCACTCCTGGACATATTGTTATTCTGTCAGGGGACAAATGGAAGGAACGGGTATGGATCAAGTAGCACCCAGCTGACGAGTCAGAGTCCGAACCGGTCAAACGGACCCCTGCATCGGTGTAGCGCGGCTTCGGTGTTAATTCTCCCGCAGCCCAGTTTGGGAGGGGTTTGCAACCGGGCTCAGAGACTGTCAGTTCGAGCATGAACAATGACTGACCGTTTTTTTGGATCGGTCGTAAAATCGGGGCCTTGTGACGCTATGGCGAGAACCCCAAAGAGCCCCAAGATCCAGGTGTTCTACACCCCCATACAGCTCACGGAAAGCCGATGGGACTGTCATGACCATCGTGATTCCTTAAATGCTGCGAGGATTCCAGAGGCTGAAGCCTCACTTTATTATTTTTGGGGCTTGCTCTTTAATGAGCCTTGCTTGTTATGCTGGCTCTATCTATGCTTGTGATCTCAACATTGTTTTTGTTCTTGGCGTGCACTTTGTCCAATTAGCTTGGATGCAACTTGTTTTTGTTCTCTTTGTTTTGTTTCTTGTCCTTCTGTGGATTTCAGTGGGGAGGTGTTTTTGCCCACCTCCACGGCCTCTCGTGAAAACGAAGCGCGCGAGAACATGGATGAGTTTGTGGAGAAAGACGGCTGGCAAGCGTGGCCGAGGGCCTCAGCGCAGATGTGTTGAATTCAAGAAGCCATCCAATGAGGCTATGGGTCAAAACCAATGAGATCCATTTTAGGGCATGTGCACCACCCGTTTTAGCACCTATTTTAGTGGCTGGATTGAATCGGATGTTCACTGGAAGTACGATTTTGATTTTGACCCATGGCCATGAGAAGAGCACAACCGGTAGCATCCACAGCTTGCGACTGTGTGAACAAAAGGAATCGTAGAGCGGACTTCATGTCGATGGTAGAATACGGTCAGGCAAGTCTATTCAGGTTTACATGTTTGTTCAGACATTCACCCCGTTCCCTTTTCGGGAAACCAACTCTGGTAAACTGCTTCAACGCTTTCCCCTACGTGCTTATAATATTGGTTTGTCCAAACAAGTGTGCAAGTCTCGTGTTTGGCCTCCCTTAGTGGCCCTAACAAGCCAAGACGCAAACCAGCTGCAGAAAGGAAGTTACCCATTTGTCACATAGTAAAAACTGCTGATGCTGGTGATCATTGGTCCCCAGAAGCCTCATAGCGATTGGCGACAGGTCGATGACCACGCTCACAAGCCGATCCTTTGACCCTGGCACATGGGGGCATTGAGGACAAAGTCCATTGCGTTGCATTGAAGGATGGACAATGTCCATGCTGGGCACCAGTTAGATTTTCCAAAAATATTCCATCCTAGCTGCAGGACTTTTTGTGTATCCGCACAAACTACCAAAAAAAGCCCTCTACCACTTTGCATGAGCAGGGAAATCTGAGTTCGTCTAAGGGTGAACCAACAAGGTAGGCTACTGGATGGTTTGGAACTTGGCCCACTTGCTCTCTACAAGAATCACGGGTTCAAGTCTTCCCAAACCACCCATTTAAACCAACAAAGGAGGGTTGCCTGAGTAGATAAACAGAGGTGTGTGGTTTGCTGTTTTGAGGATGGTCATTTAAGAATTTAAGATCCAATCAGAAAGGGTGTGTATCCGTGTTCTTGGGATCCCTCATTTTAGCTTTCTGAGTTGTACTACTTAGTGCAGCTACACCTTTGCTCATTTGAATCGAAATGCAAATCCATCGACCAGCCTTTGAACATCCAAGCTGTCACTGTTCGCCCTTGGCTCAACCAAATGTTCGAGAAGCATTTGCTTCCGACTGCAAAACCTCCAATCCTCTTGTTCTCGGACTTAAGATTGTGGTATGTTGGCTGTCTTGGTGGCAAATGTTGCTGTTTGGTTGCTAAATAGCTCGCAATGTCAGACGTGTCCCAAAGGAAGCCAACAGACCCCACCCCCCACCCGCCCTTTTTGGACACTTGAGGGGAGCTGCGAATGCTGCTGTTAGGGCCGTTGCCCTCGTTTTCGAAGGTTCGACGACGAGGAGTCCGAGGCCGATGACGCCGCCAAGGCGCGCAGCTGTGGAGTGAACCCCAGGTCGATTTTGGGATGTTTTACCTGGGTTTTAACGCCAACTCTTTTTTGGGGGAGGGCTCCCCTAAAATGGACTACAGAAAAAAGGGTACCCTTATTCTAACCTCTCTACTGGAGGACCCAGTTAAAGAAAAAGTCACTTTTTGACCGTCATGGGGATTTTTTAGTACGCGATTCGGCCTGTGAGGCTCTGAAAGATGTTTTGAGTTTTGACGCTGTCTTTTGTTCTTTGACGTTCTTTGTGAATTGCCCACAAATCTCTACAATTTGAGCACTTTGCAGAAATGGCTTGTTCTTTCTTGAGTTAGTGACGTCACAAGCTAGAACTTTCAGAGAACAGTGGATTTCGACTCCACCCGCGGATTCGCTGGTTTGGTGAAGGGCGCTTGTGTGCTTTTCCGGCTCGGGCATCCAAACCGTTGAGGACTTGCTGACGTCTCCGTGCGGGAACATCGGGGGAGGCTCCTATGGTGTTTGGTTTCTGGGGAGAGGGGGAGATACCGACAAATCTAAACAAGCTGGATCTAAATTGAAAAAGCACCGTCTAGTTTTAGTGCCTCTGGGGATTGTGTCAGGCTTTGCTCGCCGGATACGACACCTTCTGCTCCTAATATTTCCCGCTCAAGTTTGCACCTTCATGCACCTCCTTCAAAGAGATGTGTGCGGTGAATGATCATCTTTGTTGCAGCATGGGAAAAAAAAAGGAAATACTCACCGAATTTCTGTTGGGCATGAGGGATGCAATATCGACCAAAGGCTTCAAGTATCTTGTGATAAGTAGCTCAAGAAGAGGTCAACAGAAAGAAACCGCACTCATTTTGACCGCGCCGAACCCCCGTCCGAGTCGGCTCCAGGACAGCGGCGAGAGCGACTTTGAGGCGGAGGATGAAGAGGCGCAGGGGTTTGTCAGACAAAGTCAACCGCATTTGGAGACCCTTTCTTGAACCCTCAGTCAAAACACCGGTAAAAGGAAATATGCGACCATTGGAAGGCTTGCTAAGGAAGCCATGACCATGAGTCACATTAGTTTTGGCCGGTCTTGGTGGAGTGCATCCGAGGTGGTTCCGACCGGGCCATACCAGACCAAATTCGCCACGGGAAAATAGAGGGATGATCACAATGAGTGCTTGCCCAAGTCAAGCATAGAACCCCCCGACCAAGATGGGCGATTTTGGAACAACACTGTTGTCCATGGGAAACATATTTTGGTATTTGTTTTGGGGGGTGCCGAGTGCGTGTCTCTAATTGAGCATGATCTGTATCTAAACGGTCCTATATAGCTTCCGCGAAAGGAGAACCCTGCATCGCGAAAGCGTTTCCCGAATGTTTTTAGTTCACGTGTTGTTCTGTCTTCAATCATACGTGCCGAATGGCCGTATGGCTCAAGTTTAATGCCTCCCGTCAGGTAGTTTAGGGCGTTCGTGCGTTTGCCATACCGCGGCAGCGGAATCCTTCTTCGCGAAAAGGTTCGTGGAGCAGGGGCCTGCTGGTATCCATTGAACTTTCTCTTTTGCAACTTGTTTTCCATTTAACCCTCAAACAGCATACTTTCTTACACTGAGTTGTGTCACCGGGTTCGTTGCCCTCATCGTGAACTACCTTGAGGTCATTTGATTCCCTGGCCTATACCATCTTCGCCCAAAACCGCAGGTTATCAGCCATAACAGCAAACAGCTGTGGCTGGTGACCCGGTTGCGGGCCGTGACACGCTAACTGCTCTACATTGCCTTTGTGTAAGAGCAATGCTGGAGCCTCTCATCGCGGGCCTGGCTTCGCAGACAACGAAGCCCCCGCCCGGCACGGTGCCGCCGGCCAAACGATCCCGGCCGCGGTGCTGCAGATCGAGGACAGACCCCCTCAGAGGCTGTGGTCCTTTCAGGAGTCTGGTCCATTTCATCTACTATCCCACTCGTGGCCGTTCAGTCGAGAGTCACGACCTGCCATTGCGCTCAACCTTGGTCCCTTACATGGGATCAGTTTGACACCAGATCCTTGGCATAGGAACTCAGGCTACACCCGCCGAATTCAATCGAATCGTGAGCGACTCAGGTGTGCCTATTGGATATTGATGCCCTCTTTGAAGCTGTCCCAACCATCCAGCCCTTGTGCTCTGAATTGCTTCCTCTTGCCCAACCTGTGCTTGATTCCATTGAGGACTTCCCTGATGGACTCGAGGATGACCCTCATGGGGACTTCTCCCCGACACAAGAAATCTGTGTTGAAGGTTTCGGCAATCGTGGCTCAGGCATTAGCTGGCCGCCCTCCACTGTCAGGGATCTTTTAGGCTATCGAGGATGATGTCCAACAGGATACAGCTGATTTGGGCATCATCCCAGAAGCCATACCAACCGTCCTGTCAGGTGCCCAAGAACCGGACGCGAGCCGCTGGAATTTGCGGGCCACTACAGTTGGCCTGATTCCATCCTCAGGTACCCAAAGGATGCGGGCCGCTGCAGAGCTACTCATGGACAGGAAGAGGATCAGTATAGATCTGATCCGATTCCAACCAGTGCATCAGGTACGTGGGGGTCATGCGCTGTAACCGCTGGGCGACTCAAACAGAGTCCTCCCCACCAGTAATCCATCTTGAAGAAACATCAACAACATTGTACCAGTGATGGATCCGGACATGATTCGCCTGATCATGGGCATGCTCCGATCAATCCGCTCGACATCCCGTTCCATCAGCCGCCCAGAAAGGGCGTTGAGGATGACGAGGCTGTCCTTGCGATCAGTGAGTTTGAGATTACGCCGGAGCGATCGCTCCCTAGTCAAGAACTTTGCCAAGGTCCTGTCACCGAAGCCCTACGTTCATGAGGTTGCCCAACGACTTGATCTCTCTCAGGCCACTCATCACAAAGCTCATCAACAGAAATCTTCTTCACGCGATAATCCGCGTGAACAGATTGGGGTTGACTCGCAAGCTACAAAAAGAAGCTCTGAGTCACCTGAAAGACGTGAAGCTGCCCTACGTCTGAGATCGCGTCCTCCTGCTCATCACGATCCCATTGTTCCCGTTCATTCTGCCGGGTCTAAAGCTCCAACGCCCCGATGTCCGAAAAGGACACACGTTCTTCCAGATAGGGACAAACAGGACGCCCGATGGAAATGAAGATGAGCAGAATGCTGGTGGCGTGGAGAGTTGCCCCGCTCCTGCTTCATCTTCCGAGTATCACCGTCCTGGTCCATCCGAACTGCAAGGCGGAGATCCAGGCCTGCCGGAGATCCGGACATGCAGAGAGGATGTCAATGCGTGTGTCAGTGAGATCCAGAAGACGAACGACCGAATCAACACCTTTGAAAAGAAGGTCGAGATATCCTTCTCCACTGTTGCTGGAACTCTCGAAGCACGAGGCTAAGTTGCGTGAGATCGACGGATGGAGATTAGGCATCAGGAAGTTGTTGATGATCGATTCAAAGGTCTATGACGATCCAACGATGCTGAGCTTCGCGGCAGGCCTTAAGTCTCTAGACAGTTGTCGAGATGGAGGGGACCCTCAGTATGTATGCAACAAGTGGTTTCTAACACCGACAAGAGACAGTTGTGGAACAGGCTGTCCGCTGCCATGAACGCGCTCTCCGATCAATATGAACCGATGTCCGCCGAAGAGATCGAGGAAGGTTTGAGGGACTGCCACTACGATCCGCTTTCCGACTACATTGAAGACGAAACGAGTGTCGCTCCGTGCGTGATATCAATATAAGGCTCCGAAATTTGCACCAGTAGCCAAGCCTGGAGTCTTCCTTGGGTACAGGCTTGAACCTGGTGGAAAATGGAAAGGCGAGTATTAAAGTCGCTGATCTTGAGCATTTTCAAGCTGGTGTCGTCCGACCCAGCATTCACCAGGTCAAACAAATCTATCGCAACGCTGACGAGCCTTGCGTCCTTCCGCTTTTGAAGGCTTATGAGGCGCGAACGCGAGAGTGCTCCTCGCCTGGCTTTACCATCGCTGTGCCAGACGGTGTCTATGGGCGAAGAGACGTTGGTGCTGGCGTGATTGATCCCGACTGCACTGGCGAAGTCAAGGTCGTGATTTTTAACCACGCGATGACTTTAACGTCAAGAAGGGAGATAAAATCGCCCAGCTCATTCTTGAACGATATCAGTTCTTGAACCTGAGGTCTGCATTCGAAAGCCTTCGTGAGGGCTCTGGACACAAGCCTTTTCTCGGTCTTCCGCCTTTCAGCGCCTGCGTTGCTTGCCAAGCGCCTTGCAAATGAACCCCAAATCATTTGCCGCCTTAGAGAAGAAATGGAAGAAGCTTCGCGACATGGGTTGTCGGGACCAGCCGCGAGTGGCGAGATGTCGCTGCTGGGGGGAACATGCACGGGGCTGGGTCGGGTGGGAAATATAAGATTGCGTGGCTCCCTGCTGAATCATGCCAAGGTTGTGAAGATTTTCACTCCACACATTCTTGACACAGGCCTTGGTAAGGATGGCAGCCCTTGATAGTCAGAGGGGCAGGCGATGGATCAGTTCTTCCTCTAGAGCAAGTTGCTTGGGACCACGGCATCACAGCTGGAGAGGGATACTGGATTGTCCCAACGCTGGCACCCGTGCCCTCGCCATCAAGTTTGCGCCGAATCCAAGTTTGGGGCGGTGATAGGTTCTCATCGTGCTACTCCAACGGCAATATCGAGATGCAACGGTTCAACCCTTACACGGAGGTGAACGTCGATCTCGTGGAGAAAACGAAGCGTGCTTTCTTCATGCTGCTCATCGCAAAACCCGGATCGGATCTATGCCGTTCCATCAGATTGTTGGCGATCTTGGTCGATGTAGATGGTCCCAATATCCCCGACGCGTGGCGCACAGCCGCGGTTAGGGGGGAGTTCCGGATTGCCTGGCGCAATCGGTCGCTCAAGTCTTCCGCTTGATGTGTGGGCCGCTGGCACGATGAGTCCGCACGCACTCGCGGGGACAAAATCATGGCTTGCCTATCGTCGCCCCACAGCGCGCGAAGTTGGGGAGGCAAAAAAAAAGGCCGAGCGGGAGGCCGCTGGGCCGTCAGCCCTTGGAGACTGGCGAAAGGACCGACACCGCAGAGAGGCTGTCAACATGGCCGGCTCTGAGGAGAAGCCCGCGAACGAGGGAAGAGGAGAACAAGGAACAGCTCCCGGCCGAACAGGCCAGTGCTGCTCAGACGATGCGCTTGTCAAGCCGGTCATCTTCATGACTGATGAGGCCCCTCGCGTGCCCGTCTCTCCTCCCATTGACGAACGCGGAGCGACACGGGCAGTGGTTGTCGCACCGTGTACTGGGCTGCCCGGCCCCGACGCGCTGACGATCGCTCCCGGACCGCTCATGGTGAGCGAGACAATCGTGATGTAGACCGTCATGGTCCTCGTGGTGGCGGCAAGGGTCGCGGGAAGCAGCGGCCCGGCAAAGGTGCACGTGACGCCCCTGGCCCACCTCGTCATAGAGACGATCAGGGCGGGAATGCTTGTAATCGAAGAAGGTCGCGATGATTCCGCTGACAGGCGCGGGACTGGCAGGGAAGATCGCCGGGCGCGATACCGCCGCGATCGGCCGCGTGATGAGCACGACCATCGCCGCGGAAATCGACGACAGCATTCGGATTAGTCGGGCGGTGGTGATTTTTCGCAGAGACGACCCTCCGCGTGACACGAGGCCGGGAAGGCCGGCCAGTCATGGCAGCCGATGAGCCGAGTGGCACCTGCGTTGGGATGGACGTCCTGTTGCTGCTCTATACGGTAAAAGGATGCATGACAGTTGAGTTCACGACGAAAGGAACCAACCAAAACACCAGTGCCAACTCAGAGGTGAGCCAAACGGCATCACCTGAGCCCCAGTTAAAATCCCGAACTAGCGGTGCGACAGGAATATTTGACGGATGGGCCACATAAAGCCATGATGGAGGAACCAAACAAAGATCCCTCTCGTGCCATTTGCATCAGTGCGCTGTAGCAACGGGAGGGGAATCCTGTCTGGATCACCACACCTCCGGGAGCTCACCGCAACGTGGAGATGTGACAATCACCAGCGCGCATGGTCCGGGAGAGACATGAGCATCACCAGAGCAGTGGATGGGCTATGCTATCCTGGGCCTGGTAATTGAACTTTCTCTTTTGCAACTTGTTTTCCATTTAACCCTCAACTACCTTGACGTCCTAACCTCACCGAAAACTCGGCCCGCTTAAGCTCCGCGAAAGGGCTACTTGCGCGCTCGGGAAAGGCACTTGCTCCTGTCCTGTATTAGTGCGCTCAGGCTGTTTGATCTTGTTTGCACACGTTTCTTGCACTTGAAAAGCGCGCGTTGTCTAGGACAGTCTCTTAACCTCAAAGTGTCGAGTTTCTTGTTTAGGTATGCAACTCTTTCCCAAAGAAAGCAGGCGCGAGGACACGCGTGTTTGACAATCCCCGAAGACCCCTTGAAAACTGCCACATTCTGCCACCATTGATTAAGGGTCTAGCAGAAACCTCATGTCTATCATGTAAAGCGGCGGCGCATTTTCCGGAAATATGCAACGCTGCGGTTTGGAAGAAAGAGCAAACTTCACCTACAGTTCCGGACCTGTACATAGCGGGTCCGATCCGCTACTTTCACGCCCCGCACCCAGCGGGCTATGGGCTCGAGGACTAAGTTTCTATACCACAAGGGTCCCACGGATACAAGATTTGCCGGACTATGTTCGCATCGTGTTTGGAGACCCACCATGTCAAACGCTTTCAACAAAAAGCGAAAGGAAACCGAGCCATTTGAGGGGTCAGCAAGTTTTCAGACGAACAGTTGGTGTGGTTTGCAAGTCGAATCCAATGAGCTCCATCCAACATCATCAGTTCCGCGGCGCCTTAAAAGACGAGTACGAGTGTGTGTGTGTGTGTGAGAGAGAGTGCGCGCGTGTGTCTGTGAAAGAGCAATGACCTGCTTTCAGACAGACCGCTTCCAAGCCGGTGCACAAATGACATGAAGTTTCAAAGTGAGCTCTGTCAGCTCATGTTATCATGAGCTGACACCTGCTGTAGCAGGCTCAGTCTGACTGAGGGTTGTTGTGCAAGCGGCAGTTTGTCAGGGAACACCCTCCAAAATGGTTGGCGCAAAAACTCCCCCATGTAAATGGCGTCCACCAGAGGGTCCCCAACAAATGCTTATACCCACGCTACGTTCTTACTTGTCCCCCTATTTTTACACGCCTCATATTTTCTTAGCCCCCTGTTTCATGACCAACCTACAAGTTCCTTCTGCACCATTCCCAGAGCCTTTGCCTGGGCGTCTCGCTACGGCTCGCCACTGCTTGTCAGCCTGACGACGACTTTGGGGAGATTGAAGGGGATGAGGCGAGACAAGAGGTTTGTGTTTCCTGTGTTTGCTGTTGCTGGTGTTGTTCTGATTATTGTTGTTTGTTATTGTTCTTATGAGTAGTCATTTTGTTGTTGCTTGTGTTCTTCCTTTTATTACTCCTCTTTGTGTTATTCCGAAGTTATTCCCATCGTTTTTTTGGTGTTCTTCTTGTCCTTATTGGCATTATTGCGCTTATTGGAAATCTTGTTATTCGTGTTACTATTGTTTATCTGGTTGTCCTTGTTGTTAGGTTGTGTCTGTCGTCGTGGTATTTTTTGGTTGTTGTGTTCTTCTCGTTATACTTGTCATGATTGTTCTTATTGTTGTATGTATTCTAGTTTCTGTTTTTCTCGCCGTGGCTGCTGTTTGTTTGTTGTTGCTGCTGCTGCTGTTGTTGCTGCTGGCTGCTGTTGTCGTTTGTTTTTGTTGCTGCTGTTGCTGTTGCTGTTTGTGGTTTGTTGTTGCTGCTGCTGTTGTTGTTGCCGTTGCTGTGGATGGTATTGTTAGTGTTGGTGTTGGTGTTGGTGCTGGTGCTGGTGCTGGTGTTGGTTGGCGTTGGTTATTGTGGTTGCGGCTGTTGCTGTTACTGTTGCTGTTGGTGTTGTCGTCGTCGTCGTCGTTGTTGTTGTTGGTTGTTTGTGGTTTGTTGTCGTGTATCGCTGCTTGTTGTTGTCGTCGCTGTTGCTGCTGTTACTCTTGTTGGTATCGTTGATGTTGTTGCTGCTGCTGCTCTTGCTGGTGGTTGTTATTGTTGTCGTCCTCGTCGTCTTTGCTGTTTGCTGTTGTTGTTGTTGCTGGTGGATGTTGTTGTTGTTGCTGCTGCTGCTGTTTTTGATGTTGGTTGTTGGTTGTTGGTTGTTGGTTGTTGGTTTTTGGTTGTTGCTTGTTGGTTGTTGGTTGTTGGTTGTTGCTTGTTGGTTGTTGATGGTTGGTTGGTTGCTTGGTTGCTTGGTTGGTTGGTTGGTTGGTTGGTTGGTTGGTTGGTTGGTTGGTTGGTTGTTGTTGTCGTCGTTGTTGTTGTTGTCGTTGTTGTCGTTGTCGTTGTCGTTGTCGTTGTCGTCAAACAAACAAGCAAACAAACACACACACACACACCAAACACACAACAACAACACAACAACAACACCAAAACACCAACACCACCAACAACACGACCACCACAACCACCGCCACCAACAACACCAAACAACCAACGAACCAACCAAACCAACAAACAAACAACAACAGCCACAACAGCAACAACACCACCACCAACAACACCACCAACAACAACACCAACAACACCAACACCAACACCAACAACAACGACAACGACAACGACAACAACAAAGACAACGACAACGACAACGACAACGACGACGTGTTTGATTGCTTGCTTCTTCGTTTTTCTTTATTTCTTTGCTGTTTTGTTTGTGTGATTGTGATTTTCTTTGTTTGGTGTGTTTGCTTGCTTGTTTGTTTGGTTTGTTGCTTATTTGGCTGTTTGTTTTTGATTGTTTTCCTGCTTGCTTGCCTGTGTGCTGTTGCATATTGTTGTTGTTGTTGTTGTTGTTGTTGGTTGTTGATTGTTGGTTGTTGGTTGTTTTTGCTGTTGGTGTTCTTGTTGTTCTTGTTGTGGTTGTGGTTGTTGTTCTTGTTGTGGTTGTTGTTGTTGTTGTTTGTTGTTGGTTGGTGTTGTTGTTTTTGTTGTTGCTTGTTGTGGGTTGGTATTGTTTGTTGTTGTTTGTTGTTGTGTGTTGTTGTTTGCTTGTGGTTTGTTCGTTGTTTGTTGTGTTTTTTGTTTGTTGCTTGTTGTTTGTTGTTTAATGTTGGTTGTTTGTTGTTTGTTGTTTTTTTGGTGTTTGTTGTTGTGTGGTTTTGTTTGTTGTTGTTTGTTGTTTGTTGTTGTGTGTTGTTGTGTGTTGTTTGTGGTTGTTTGTTGTTTGTTGTTGTTTGTTGTTGTGTGTTGTTGTTTGTTGTCGTTTGTTGTTGTGTGTTGTTGTTTGTTGTTGTGTGGTGTTGTTTGTTGTTTGTTGTTGTTTGTCGTTGTTTGTTGTTGTTTGTTGTTGTTTATTGTTGTGTGTTGTTGTTTGTTGTTGTTGTTTGTTGTTGTTGTGGTTGTTGTTGGTTGGTTGGTTGGTTGGTTGGTTGGTTGGTTGGTTGGTTGGTTGGTTGGTTGGTTGGTTGGTTGGTTGGTTGGTTGGTTGGTTGGTTGGTTGGTTGGTTGGTTCATTTGTTGGTTGGTTGGTTGGTTGGTTGGTTGGTTGGTTGGTTGGTTGGTTGGTTGGTTGGTTGGTTGGTTGGTTGGTTGGTTGGTTGGTTGGTTGGTTAGTTGGTTGGTTGGTTGGTTGGTTGGTTGGTTGGTTGGTTGGTGGTTGTTGTTCTGGTTGTTGTTGTTGTTGCTGCTGCTGCTGTTGTTGTTGTGGTTGTTGTTGTTGTTGTTGTTGTTGTTGTTGTTGTTGTTGTTGTGGTTGTTGTTGTTGTTGTTGTTGCTCTTTGGTTCTTGTGGGTTGTTGTTGCTCTTTGGTTCTGCTGGGTTGTTGTTGCTCTTTGTTTCTTGTGGGTTGTTGTTGGTTCTTGTTGGTTCTTGCTGGTTCTTGTTGGTTCTTGTTGTTTTTGTTGGTTCTTGCTGGTTCTTGTTGGTTCTTGTTGCTTTTTGTTGGTTCTTGTTGGTTCTTGTTGTTTTTTGTTGCTTCTTGTTGGTTCTTGTTGGTTGTTGGTGGTTGTTGATTCTTGTTGGTTCTTGTTGGTTGTTGGTGGTTGTGGCTGATTGTTGGTGGTTTTTGGTGGTTGTGGGTGGTTGTTGGCGGTTGTTGGCGGTTGTTGGTGGTTGTGGGTGGTTGTTGGCGGTTGTTGGTGGTTGTTGGTGGTTGTTGGTGATGGTTGATTCTTGTTGATTCTTGTTGGTTCTCGTTGGTTGCTGGTGGTCGTTTGTTGTTGTTGGGTTCCAATATGTTGGCAACAACTAGGTGTTGCAAGGTGGTCAGAGGCAGTACAAGCTCACACTCGGTCAGTCAGATACAAGTTCGGTGATGGCTTTTGACCTGTTGATGATTCCCTTATACGGGGCCGTGAATTTGATTGGGTTATGAAACATTGTATCGGTTTTCCTCGGCATTGCCCGGTTGCTCTTTAAACTACGTAGCCAAACCTGGGCCAACCTTCACCCAACCCTCAACCAACTTTGAGCCAACCCTTAGCCAAATCCAGGGCGGGTGGCTGCCATGGGGAGGGGGGGACCTAGAACCGAGAACATGCATACCCTTCCAGGGCGTCAAGAAACAATGGGTTGTGGTTTGAAGGGAAACCAGAAGCAAGCCGACACAGGTGTGCTACCAAGTAGGCCGTATAAACCAGGCCAAAGCCATTCAAGTGGTATTTGTGCGTTGCGTCGCCATAGGACTCTTCAGCAGAACCGGAAGAAGAAGATGATGACGATGATGCGGAAGAGGACGAGGATTTCGATGAGGAGGACGAGGACGAGGACGGAATCTGAACTGATATGCAATCGATGCAATCTGCAAGCGGGGATGCTCTAAAATGATTGTCCCCTGCATGTCGCTTTGTTGCATGCAGTGCTCCCCGAAGAAAAGTAGATCTAGGGCAGGAGTACTTGCACTCGACGGTCGAGAACAAGGCAAACCATGGCGACAAAAAAATCAATGACAACCCAGTTACCACCATAGGACGCCACAAAGCGATTGGCTGCTTTGTGTTTTTCAAGGGTGGTTGCCTTGCGAAATCACGTGCGTAAATCAAGGCCCAACTGTGCCACAGCCTGGCCCGGTCCATTTGCGCCAGGATTGATCCAAAGTTGCCAAAGGAAGGCGCGGTGCAGTTGGGACAATCTGTGTGGGCGCATAGCCGCTATGCCTCCCAAATTCATGGCAGGAGAACCCCGCATAGGAAGGAGCCAAGGATTCTAAGCGGCTTAGAGGTTCCCATGACATGTTTCAAGCAACTGAGGCTTCCTGCAATGCTAGCAGTGGTATGGTTGAATGCCGTCGGGCAGCCGGGTGTTGCACGAGCGGTGTGTCGCTATTTGGTTCAGGTCATGATATTCGGTTCAGGCGTCACCATGGTACAGTCGAGTGGTGAAATTTTGCCAAGAAGCGGCGTGCATTCATGTATTCCATGTCTTGATTCCTCTTGACAGCGAAGAAATTCCAACCATCCTTTACGCAGGTGAATGAGGAGTGGCAAAGAACAAAGCCAAACCCCTCAACCAGAGTTGCTCAAGTGCCCAAAGCGTGATGCGTTCCTGTTGGTTTCTCTTCACCTTGTAGCTACCCAAAGCGCTAGCTTTCGGGAAAGCTGGTCTAGACGAAATGCATGAAGATGGCTCAAATGGCCCAGCATGTTTGCTAGGTTAACCCATACTAAGCTCCAAATTAGCTCATCAAGTACACCCAATTCACCCTCGGTACAATGTAAGTGAACTCACCACGCACAGATCCAAGTTGGAGTCTTGCGCTTGCCAGCGAGTTGCACGCCTCCAGCTGGCAATGGCTTGTTTCAGATGAGCTTGTTTACCCAATTCACCCTCGGTACAATGTAAGTGAACTCACCACGCACAGATCCAAGTTGGAGTCTTGCGCTTGCCAGCGAGTTGCACGCCTCCAGCTGGCAATGGCTTGTTTCAGATGAGCTTGTTTACAGCTTGCTATCACTGAGTTCTTTAGATTGACTTGTTCCCTGAGCTTATCAAAGTCGGAACATGGGCGGTGTTTCTGTTTACTCTGCCATTTAGGAGGCACAATGTACGGGGGCGTAGACGTTCATTACGTTTGATGGCATCCATATTGAGTTGTTTTTTGGCGGGGGGAAACCAAACAGATGCACTGGCGGAGGGGGAAGTTCGGACGGTAGTTCGGAGAGGCCGTGGGGTGGGCTCCATGGTTTGGCCGACCACACACGTTTCCCGGTGTCTGAAAAACAGGCGGGTTCCTATTCGAGAGTAAGATCATACACGTGGTGTGTGTCCCTTCGCGTATCATGCTGCCAGGGGGCCCTCTCCCAGCCCTACCGGCCTGGGGGCCCCACACCCCGCCCAAACCAACCCTGAATCAATCCTAACTTAAGAAGAAGGAACCCTGAACCCACGTGTACCAAGCTGAATCCAGCTGTAAACCGCAGGACTTCGGCAGAAAGGAGCTACTGTATGAGCTATAATTAGCCATGGGTGGGGGGAGGGGGAGGGTAGGATGTTCTATGTATATATATATATATATGCCTTTATTAATATACTACATCATATCGGGCTGGGGCGCAGGGGAAGTCCGCTGAAGAGAGCCTTGCAGACCCGTTCTGGTCGCATGAGGCACTCCCGCAACTCGCGCTTTCGAACGCACGCATGTGGCTGGAAGGGCAAGCCCAAGGTCCGTGTTGGCTTACTCAAGATATATGTGGAGCCCAAACATCCTCTCATGTTTAGGTACGGTCCGTACCTATCATGTTTTGAATGGTCCCATGTTCATTTGCAGCACCCCCATAGCATGCCTTCCTATGCAGCGCTCCGACAAACTTGCAGCTCTGAGAGGGCCCAATGATGTGCCCTGCATCCCGGCCCCAGCATTCGCTCATTGCTGGTTTGGTAGGGAATCAGAGACTCAGTAGAGGTTTTGGGAATGAACTGGAAGGGGAATCTTCAAGAAAATTACTCTGATGGTTTGTAGCAGTCATTCCCAGCTCAGAACCAGAAAAGCAATCACCTTCTTTTGTTGCTGCATGCGAGGGTCTGGCAAAGAGTCAAGGTTGCTTGTGGACCAAAGGCTAGTAAATGTAAAGCGAGCTTGGTCTTTCTTGTTTCAACTTTTTGGAAATGGCGGTCTCCCCTAAGTGATTTTATTTTTGGAGGGGGTCAGTTTGACCAGGTGGAGGACGTGTGGGCTGTCGGGAGAGAGCCAAGCCTGGTTTTCAGCCCTTGGCGAATTGGGTGTTACCTGTTTGCTGGCGAAATCTTCAATCGCCTGCGCACATGTTACCAATTCCCACCTTGGGGCCCTTGAACGAGCGGGCACTGGTTTGAGGATTGCCTGCTGAGCTCCTGGTCAGAGGGCCAGGAAGAACACCCTCTGGCATGCTTCTGCTTTCTCTTTCGCTTTCCGCCCGCGGGGAAGCACGGCCACTTCTCAAGAATATGCTTATTAGTTTGTGTTTTCTTTGAACAAGGATTATTGTCCTACTCAGGTGAGTCTCTTTTGGTCTGACGCTTAACCTTTAGTTGTTGCCTAAACTTGAATTGTTTTTTGGGAAATGACTCCGCTAAAAGTCAGACTTTTTGCCCGGGAGGTCACAGACCAACCCAGGACATTACAGGGAAAACGGGGGGGTGTTCCCGGTATCAACGACCAAACCAGGATGTCCTTGAGCAAATGCGGTGGCCTTTGACATCGTTTAGCTCACCGGTTGGCAAAACAGAATTTCTCATAGGAGCTGGCCCTGTTTCAGTCGAACAACCCACCCCAGCCACCGGGAGGTTGTGGAACCTCAACGGGGTATCCCTTCTGGAGCCCTATGGTCACCTCACCGGATGGGGATGCCTCGAAATGGTCTCAAACGCCTTCAAAGCAGGGTAGCTTCACAAGCGCCCAATACACCAGGAATGTGTACTGTAGGCATTTTAGCTTTTCTCCCGTGAAGACTGGAACATCCCTGAAGCTGCGCCTCTTGGACCTTTTCCTGCGAGGCTGGGAATCGCCTTGTGAGGGGCGCCGTTAGCGCGGAGAATGACACGGAATGCAGGTGTTCAGACTGTCGGTGCTTGGGATCTGTTTTCGGATGTTTCCTTGCGCGAGAGAACCGGGCCATGCTTGTGGCATTGCGTTTGCTTGACGTCCCAACATTGACGGTTGGTGGAGATCAACACAGGCCGCCTTTGATTTGGAAACGGAGTATCGAGCTGTTCTGCCTGTGCTCCTGTAGGAGGTCATTCTGGGAGCATTGCCGAACAGCCATTCTACTGTGAAGTGGCAGTAGGATGCATGATGGGGATTTCAAAAGAGACTTGGCATTCGCACATCTAACTCACATATATATATATATATATAGAAATATTCCTTAAGAAATAATAATCTAATCACAAAATTCTAATATATAGAGCCATATATATATATATATCTATATAAATAGAGCCATATATATATATATATATATATCTATATAAAAATATTGGATGCGTTTATGATTTTATTGATAATATATGTCGATATTAATATAATTTGCTATATTTAACAAATTTAGGATTTGGTTAAAAAAAAAAAAAAAAAAAAAAATGGCGATATATATTCTTTTAAATATATATATTAAAAAACAAAAAAAACTAATTATAAAAACATAATTAGTTTAAATATATTTGGATTTAAGATTATATATATATTAATAATTTTATATATATAATTTAAAATTAAATATTATTATAAAAAAAACATATAAATTTTACAAATATATAATTAAATATTTATTTAATATATAATAAATTATAATATTTAAATATATATATATTAAAATTATATTTATATATAATTAATAATATAATATATAATTAATTATTAAATATGTTATATAATTATATTATAAATTTAAAATTTGTATATAATATTGGAATATGTTTTTATTATATAATATATTATTAATAATTATATTAATATATTGATTACTAGATATATATTAATATATTTAAATTTAAAATTAATATAGAATAACATTATATAATTATAAGGTAATGCAATTTTATGATTTAATATAAATTAATTGGGTTAATGCAAATTAGCGCGGTTTAAGGCGGCTGAGCGAATTTAAAACGCCGCTTAAGTGCGGAATAGTTCGACTGCATATGGATTAATGTGACGTAGGCTCATTGTGGATTAATGCGGTTTAGCGTGGATGAATACGGATCGTTTTCGATACGATTTATGAATTTCTAGATCCTTCCTAAATTCCGTATTTTATCGTTTTCGATTCGGATTTAAGTATTAGGGCTGAATGCGGATTAAAAGCGATTATTGCGGAGCGATACGGATTAATGTGAGTTTATGCGGAAATATATGGATTTTATGCGGGTCGGCACCGGTTAGCGCGTAACAGCGTAGCTCAATGCGGATTAGCGCAGCGATTAGCGCAGAGCGCAATCCGACGCAGATTAGTAAGCGTCCCAATGCGGAACAGTGCGGCCTCGTACGGTTTAATGGTGTTTCTAAGCGCGTAGTAGTTTAGCTCCAAGCTTCTCAGTGCAGAGTAGCGTCCTGCGCAGCGAAACGCGCGGCCGCTTCCGGAAACTTGCGCGGAGTAGCGCGGTTCCGTGCAGCTCGTGACGAATCAATGCCGATTAATGCAGCTTAGTTCCACATTAACGCAGTTGAATACGGCTCAATGCGGATTAGCACGGCTTGTGCGACTTATTGCGGAGTATAGCGTGTTTTAGTGCGGATTAACGCGGCTCGATTTCGTTAGCACGGTTCGGTGCGGCTTAGCACGGATTCACGACTCGAATATTAA